ATATTCTGTCCGATCTTCAGAGCTGCATGTTCTAATACTATATGTGTATAAAGCAAAGATCATAACCTCATCAAGGCAAATCATTATCTGAAACCAGTACTAATCGAATTAATAAGAGTATCAAGAAGATGTAGAAGAAAAACATTTAAATTTTGACAGTGTGAATAAAAGAGACCAAATTAGAATAGATTGCAAATTCAGTCACTGAAGGAATAATTATTGATTTTTGAGAGAGACCAAATGGTTAAGAATCAAATGCAGCTCTGCCTTTAGACGCTTCCAGGACACTCCCTACACGCATTTCCATCATCTTCATTCTAGGCCTCATGATCAATCGTATATTACTGTACTAGGTAAGGGCCAAGTGACTGAACTGTCAGTAACAACAACTATATTATCGGGTATTTTGCTTGGTTTCCCAAAACTCTCTGCTCCGCGAAGGTTTTATCAAATTAGTCTCAAAAACAAAATACGGTAAAGCTAAGTTGCTGAGCTTAAATGCACACGTAATGACAGTATACGTGTATATAACCTGGCTGACACCGGACTGAGCGAACGTGCTTTGGGGGGGTAGGACCCTGAAAGACGCAGCAGACCACTCATTTGTATATTTGTTTGCTTGGGGAGCGTGAGGGCCATGGAAATGGGCTTTCAGGCGCAGACATCGCCAGAGGCTGCGGTCAACGGCCTGTCCGAAGCAGCAACAGTGCAGTTGGCTACAAACGCATCCCACGACTCCCGGCAGATGCAGGGGGGAGAGGGCTGCGGCGACGCTTAAGTCCAGGTGAGGCCGGGGAAGTCGCCGGCTGCCCAACGTGGCAGGGAGGGGCCGGGCGCCGCTGGCTCCTGGCCTCTGCTGGGAGGCAGGAAGGAGCGACCCGCCGGCCGGCCAGCAGCAGGAACCCGCGCGCCTTCATCCCTCTCCCCGGCCCCAGACCTACCGTGGAACTCGAAGTGACCGATGCTCTGGCCCTGACCGTCTCGGGCCGCGGCGCTGCTGAAGCTGCCCCGCAGGGTCTTAGCCTGGCAGCCCTGCGGCCACCAGCAGCACGTAAGAGCCACAGCCAGCAGCCGCAGACCCCCCATCCCTGCCGCCCGCTCAGGGCGTCCACCCGAGTCCCCAACCGCTGAGCAACCGGCACCCACGTCAGCATGGGGATGTGGGGGTTCGTACGCCGCGGACCCGCCTCCGGGAAACTGAAAGCCAATGAAGCTGCTCGTCCGCCACGAGTCAAGGATAACCACCAATCAGAGTCCTAAGAGGGAGGGACATGAAGATCCGAGCGTCCAGTCATTTCTTTGCCTTTTGGCTAGTTCCCGCCCTTTTTTTTAATTCTTTTAGTGAAGAACCAGGAGGATGTTGCTTCATGTTACAGGAGAATTATCGCGTTCCTCCTCGCTTCTGCGCATCCTGGCACTGCGCATGCACGACGACGCGCAGGCGCTGATCCTTCGGCCCTTTGAGGGACACGTGGGCGTTCGGAGAAACGCTGGAGGGGACCAATTCTGGTCAAGAGAGAAAAACTCCCCTGAAGCAAGAACCATTGTCTTGTTTTAGCCTTTCTTTATTAGTGCCTGTATAACCTATACGACCCACTTGAATGTCTCAAAACCGTTTAGCTTTGCATGTCCAAGGGTTTTCCCTCCTACATCACCCAACGGACCAGCTAGCTGGGCATTCTCACGACTCCTTGTCCCCAAGCCCTCTCAGCCAATCGATTCAATTACAAAAGTTGATTTACCCTCTGTGCTGGGAGGAAACTGCAGTCACGATCCCCTGCAGGCCGTCACTTTCTCGGCCTAAGGCAAGATCTGCTTCCAGTCTTAATTCTAATTGGTTACAGTCCCTCTTTGACCCAGCCACAAAAAGCTTTAGGAAAAGCAATTTGCACCACTTTGCTTCTAAGGCCTTTCAGTACATAACCCAAACTCTTTAGAATATGGCTCTCAAATCTCTAAAATTTCCTTTTTTAAACTTCTCATCTCCATCCTTATCACTGTCAGCTGAACACTCCAAGTTCTCCCCTCTAGTCCTGTATCACTGGTAGATCCTCTGGCTGGAATATTGCTTATTCTACCACTCAGGTTCCACCTCACCCTCCTTTTTCTCCTTTGCTCCTTTATCAAAACTCCCCTTTTAAAGACAGTCTGACTTTCTTTCCCCATGTAGAGTGTCGTGGCGTCAGAGGTCACAGCAACCTTAAATTCTTGCCTCAGCCTCCCAAGTAGCTAGGACTATAGGTGCCCACCACAATGCGCAGCTATTTATTAGAAATGGGGGTCTCACTCTTGCTTAGGCCAGTCTCAAACTCATGACCTTAAGGGATCCACCTACCTCAACCTCCCAGAGTGCTGAGATTACAGGCATGAGCCACCTCACCCCACCACTCAAGACCCTTTAAGAAGCCTTTCTCATACTCACAAGTGTGTATTAGATACCCCCTGAATAGGTATCCCTTACTTCCCCACTAGGGCACTTAGCACACTGTATCATTAATGTCTCTTGGTTTATCTGAATCCCCCACAGCTGGCCAGAGACTCTGCCTGTCTTGATGAAAGTAGGAGCTCAAAATTATTTCATGAATAAATGTATATAAATCATTTTCTTTTGGGTAGAGTGCTGTGGCATCACAGCTCACAGCAACCTCCAACTCCTGGACTTAAATGTTTCTCTTGCCTTAGCCTCCCAAGTAGCTGGGACTAAAGGTGCTCACCACAACGCCCGGCTATTTTGTTGTTGTAGTTGTCATTGTTGTTTGGCAGGCCCAGACTGGATTCGAACCTGCCCGCTCTGGTGTATGTGGCTGGCACCTTACCCACTTGCGCTACAGGCGTTGAGCCTATAAATCATTTTCATTCAAACATATTTTATAACATATAAGCAAGTTCTCACAACAGAACTCACCATTTAGAAAAAAATTCTTGAGGGAACACCTATCATATACCCAGCATTTTCAGTATCTCTAGCTGACAAGGAATATACTGGAGGTATTGATATTTAGGGATTTGTAGAAAAATTGTACTTTCAAATATATTATAAAAGTTATTTGACTTCAAAAAAAAATTTAGTCAAAAGCATATAAAGGCCAGACACGGTTACTCATGCCTTTAATCCCAGCACTTTGGGAGACCTTTACTCTAGCTCAGGCAACAGAGTGAGACCCTGTCTCCAAAAAAAAAAGTGTATGAAATAAATATTAATGTCCCCATTACCTTCTTTCCCTGCCATTTTTGATACCCACAGGTAATCTCCATTTATAGTTTAGGGTGGATCCTTTCAGTCAAGCCTTTATAAATACATGTAGTATTTGTAAACCAAGGACAGGAATAAAACTATCCTGAGGAAGAACCACAACACAGGCCGTGGGTGCTGTAAGGCCTCTCCATTTCTCTCTTATCTCTTCTTGATCAACTTTGTTTTCTCATTGAAATTAGCTTTTTGGCTTTTCAGTTCATTTGCAAGAACTTGGCTACCATGACAAGTCCCAACTTTGTAGGGCCTCAGAGTTCAAAAATAACTATCAGACTATACGAAAACCTTAGTCCAATTCCAAATCCAAGAGGAAGCTTCAGTTGGCCTAGGATGAGTCAGATTCTATTCTGCAGCCTGCCTACATGGGGGAGTCTACTTTGTTATTTCATAAGTGGTAGGGGCAATCTGGTCAGGAAAAAGCCATAGTATCAACTACAAGATTAAGTTTCGGTCCTTATTCCATATTGGCACATTCTTTTTAAAAGCTATATAACACTCCATTGTATTTAAAAAGTGAAACTGTTTTATATACATTTAGAGTGTGTCCAATTTTCATTATTAAAAGCAATGTATTAATGAACAATTAAATATATTACATATCATGAAATTTGGGGGTATGAATATATATGCACATTTGAAATTTTCATATGTATTACCACTTTGCCCTCAAAATGTTGTAACAGATGATACTTCTACCTGCACTGGGCATTTCCAATTTATTTAAGCTTTGCCAAAACATTATGTGAAGAAAGAAAGATATTCATTAATCTATTTGATAATATTTACTGATTGTTTATTCAGGTATGGTCCTAGGGACTTGGGATTATAGCAGAAAACAAAACAAATCCCCTACCCTCATGGAGCAGTGACAATGAGCAAGTATATCAATATAAATGTTGGTTCAGTGCTATGACGGAAAACAAAGAATGGTAAGATGGTTGGGCCGGGCTGAGTAGAGCTTGCTATTTTAATTGGAGTACTCAAGAAAGAACTCTCTAATAAGATGATGTTCAAGCTGAGGACAAAGTAGTAAAAGGAACAACTAGGCAGACATCTGGAGGAAGAGCGTGCAGGCCCCAGGAAGCAGCATGCTTGGCAAATTCAAGGAAGGGCAAGGCCAGGGAGGTCGGGGCAGTGTGAGCAGAGGGGAGAATAGTAGGATAAAATCTAAGGATACCAGCCTCTTGGCAATATCTTTAGCAAGACTGAAAGGCCTGCCCTGGTCTGTAATAACATTAACAAGGGCAAAAGATCATTCTGCAATTTTGGCAAATTTAAGGAAGGGCAAGGCCAGAGAGGTCGGGGCAGTATGAGCAGAGGGGAGAATAGTAGGATAAAATCTAAGGATATTAGCCTGTTGGCAATATCTTTAGCAAGACTGAAAGGCCTGCCCTGGTCTGTAATAACATTAACGAGGGCAAAAGATCATTCTGCAATTTTGACCTCACATTGCAAGACAACTTCTCGGAATTCTCAACAGGTGCATAACTTCTAGAGATGGCTGTAGTAGAAGAATGAAAGAGGTCCTCATTCATAACTCTGACCTTTTGTGTATCTAAGTAAAGTCTATTATTTCATGAATAAATGTATATAAGAGTCATCTTGCTGGTGACTCTCGCCAGGAAACGAGCCAAACCAAACCGGCCTGCGACCCTAACTGCTCCTATCAGGCCTGCGCGGTGACTCCGCCCGGCCGCACCCAGCCCGCCAGTGGGCGGGGCCGAATCCGGGGCAGCACTACTCTCCGGCTGCTGACGCTAACTGCCCCCTTTAACGTAGTGGGCGAGCGAGGCGCGTCGCAAAAGGTCGCGGTGGAACTTCCTTACGGTCTTCAAACGGGTGCTTTACGGTACCAGGCACTGCCGAACTGGGAGATGTCGGCGGCTACCTGCGAGGAAGCGTCGGGTCCTGCTAGCGGCTTTGCGAAGCGGGTCCTGGTGACCGGAGGTGCTGGTTTCATGTACGTAATGGCGGCGCTAACCGAGCAGTGGCTCCCTAGAAACCCCAATTTATTCCCGCTGCTCTGCTTGCCTATGACAGTCTGGGTCTAACTTTGAAGGGTCTGACGTGGGGGAAGGTCCTAATACTCAACCTAAACTTTTCTCCTCTCAAGGGACTTGGTGTCTAGTGGTAAAAGACCATTCTACTCTATCTCCCTGACCTGCGAAGACGTGGTTTCTTTGAAACTGCGACTTCGAAACGCCTGCCATCCAGAGCAGGAGCGCCGTGGCACTGTCCTGTCTGCGCTCTGGTGGCCTGAGATGCTTGACCGCTAGTCACTCCTGAGTGCGCACACGTTACTGTAAGCTTCTCACCGACTGCCTGCACCCCAAGCCGAGAGCCCCACAATGCACAGGCCTAGTTCATATAGGCTCCCCCCTCAAATGATTTTGGGATTATGACAAAGCATTCCCTTATTCAGCAAACTTT